AACATAGAGCTCTAAAATTGTGAACATGGAGCTTCGAAAATTATGATTTTATAGTTATTTAATTATGAATGTACAGTTACAGAATTATGAATGTACAATTATGCAATTATGAATGTACAGTTATGAAATTATGAACACAGAGCTCTGACATTATGAACTTACAATATAAACATATAGTGATAAAATAATGAACATAGAGCTCTAAAATTGTGAACATAGAGCTTCGAAAATTATGAAGTTACAGTTATTGAATTATGAATGTGAGTTATTATACAAGAGTAGATTTATCTAGTGCACAGTCTCAGATAATTGCGCCGAGTTTCCCTTGTCACAAAAAAAAAGGAAGTTGAGGGGACAACCCGAGCTAATTAAGTTGGTAAGATGGTTGCCTTGGTAACCACAATGTTACAAGTTTGTTCGACTATCAATAAGAGCGGTCTATTGGCTTTATTATTGGTTTGAGTCGGTCAGCGCGCTATGGAGTAGCCTAACCTGATTTATATCATTATAGTCATTTACTGGTTAGGATTACTCAGTACACACCCACAATGAATACATAATCGACCAGTTAAGTAATTTCATTGATTATATTTGGAGTTTATTGGTTAAATTGCTTATTGACTTTCTCGATTTGAGCCTATCAATTATGGGTAGAGCAACTTACGGGGTCACAACACAAGCAAGCTTCACTCGAAGGTAATGGTTACGTCCTTTCTTGTGTATCAAATAACTTATTGATTAAATTAGCTCTGACTAATGACACCCAGGTTAAACTCCCATATGGGAGGTTGTGAGTTCGAGCCTCAATTGAGACGTGTTACATTCTAAAAATAAAAAAATAAAAAAAAATAGCTCTGACTAATTAGTTTAGGCTAATTAATGGCCCACCATTTATGCGACGATTCTGCCAAGTGAGAACGATTGCTACATGGCATTGTTAGTCCAAATTTTGATTTCTTTTGCCGGAATATATATGTTTGTGTACCGTGGAGAATAGGGTTCTTTTGGAGAATAATATAATGAACATCACACACAAAGTTTACATTGAAACTTTGTAAAAAAATTTCCTGAAAGGTCGAGTGGTTTAAGTTTCAGATGCCTTTAATGGTGATGAAGAATAAAATATTTGAGTTCTGAAAGTCTTCTAGTGAGGTTAAACCTTTAATTTTGTAGCCATTGAAGTGAAAAATCAGAAGATTATATCCCGAGAATGTACTCCCATGTTTTCATATATTGATTGATTGTAAATGATATGATTTTTTGGGTTACGTTTAAAATATAAACTCAAAATTTTCATTTTACAGATAAAAGTATAATCTTAAAATTTTTTAAAAGATCATCAATATTTTTCTTTTCTACAAAAATCACTATGAGGGTGTTCGGTAAATAACTATTAGCTGATTGAGTTAGTGGGTTTGACTAGTTGATATTATTAGCTGATTGTAGAAAAGTGTTTGGTAATTAGTTGTTAGCTGATAGCTAATTACGTGCAAAATGACTTTCTCAAAAAAATAATTGAAAAAGCTGATTTAAGTAGCTTTAGGCCCTGTTTGGTAAAAAATTGGCCTTATAGGCCAATTTTAGCTTATTTGACCACTATTAATGGTTTGATTTAGTTAAAATATCAATGGCCCTATTTGGTAAAAAATTGGCCTATAGGCTAATTTTGACTTATTTGACCACTATTAATTGTTTGATTTTGTTAAAATATCAATATAAATGTTTGGTTAATTAGCTTTTTGCAACTCTAAAAGGCTAAAATCCAAAATGCTACTCCAAGCAACTTTTTCAATTAGCTTTTGAGAAAAGAAATTATACCAAACAGCTATCAGCTAACAGCTAATTTACCAAACACTTTTCTACAATCAGCTAATGTTATCAACTATTTATACCCTCTAATTAACACAATCAGCTAACAACTAACAGCTATCAGCTAACAACCATTTTACCAAACATGGCCAATATAAATGTTTGGTTAATTAGCTTTTTGCAACTCCAAAATGTTAAAATTCAAAAAGCTATTACAAGCAACTTTTTCAATTAACTTTTTGAGAAAAGAAATTATACCAAACAGCTATCAGCTAACAGCTAATTTACCAAACACTTTTCTACCATCAGCTAATGTTATCAACTATTTATACCCTCTAATTAACACAATCAGCCAACAGCTAACAGCCATTTTACCAAACAGGGCCTTAATTTTTGAATTTTAGCATTTTAGAGCAATAAGTTATTAGAAAAAGTTAATTAATCAAACACTCATATTGATTGTTTAACCAAATCAAATAGCTAATAGTGATTAAATAAGCCAAAATTGGTTGATAAGCTAACTATGTTACCAAGAACTATATAATAGTCACTACTTGATGTGCCATTATTTTATTAGGAAACTTTTTTTTTTTTTAACGTTTGATTATTACATGGACTCTTTTGTTAACTAATGGTGGGATCAACAAATTCATATATAGGTAGTCAATTAAAATAAAGAGTTTTCTTTTTAACCAATGTTATGTTATATACTCTGTACATTGTTATTTTGTGGACAAGGGTTTACCATGCCGTCCATGCGTATTGTACACCTTGGGCCATGATATAATTTGTGTGTTATATATGTTTGCATGTTCCCAGTTTCAAGTTCCTTCTTTGTGAGATCTCCTATTGGCTTTTTCAATTTAAGTTGGTTAGCTATCAACAATTTAAATTGCTTTACCTTATTGTAATTATTTGTAGGTGGATCAAAAAATAAACTTCTTCAAATCACATATTTGAATAACGACAGTAAACTTTCTCGCAAATTAAAAGTATAATAACTATTATGTAAAGAAGAGTGTAACATTTTTAATCTCTTTTAAAAATGACGATGGTTTGAAAGTTGAGATGGATAATTACAACTAGGTGAAAAAAGGTAATTAAGATAAATGATATTGGTCCTATTTAGACCTGTCAAAACAGGCTTTGCCTTTCAGCCCGTCCTGTTCCGTCCCCTACTTAAGTAGGGAGTGAGTTTCGAAAATAGCAGCCTACTAAGGAGTGGGCATTTTTTACCTGTCCTGTCTTGGTCCACGGGTTGGCGGTATATATATATATATATATATATATATATATATATATATATATATATATATATATATATATATATAAAAGTAATAACCAAAACCCTAGCGATCATGCCACACCCTATATTGAAGATGGCGAGAACTAACACAGGTAGGTAATGTTGTTTTGAATTGTAAATTGATTTTGAACGTCGGTTTGTGCATTGTGGACCTATGGCATGTGCGAACGAACATTTAACGCATTTGTTATTGTGTTTTGTTGATGTATTTTGAACAATTAATATGTAACGGGAACACAAAGCAATTGGGGGGTTTTTGTTTCTGGTTTTTATTAAAAAGAAGAATGAAAAAAGCAGTTGGGTAATGGGTAGACTATTGGTGTGTGCGTGTGTTTAAATTGGCATGTGCATGTTGTAGATTAGAGGGGTTTGAAATTTGTTTGTTCTTCATTTTGTATCCAAAATAATGATATTTTTAGTTCATTTTGAATGAATTAGACGACATAAGTATTATTTGTTGGTCTGCTATGAAACGTATTTTTTATAGACACTAGTGTGTGCGTGTATGTTGGTAGGTTTGTGCCCGGTAAGTTATTTGGTTGAATTAGACCCGTATGAGTATTTATTTGGTTGATTTACTATGCCACGATTTTTTTATACATGTTAGTGTGTGCGAGTATGTGTGAAGGTGTGTGCGTGTATGTGGGAACGTGTTTTTGAAGGGTTCCACGTATGTGCGATCGTGGGTAATAGTCTGTGCAAGCAGCTTTATAGTTGCAGGCATGTGCGTGTAATTGGTGTGTCTGTGATTGCATAAGAACGGGCGTATGCTTGGAAAAACATGTGTGTCTGCAGATATGAATATTAACATGGAATAGAATAACACAATCAAATTGTTAAAAAATGAATACGACGAGAGGGGAAATTGCATTACTCAGAGTTGATTAAAAAAACGGTTCAAATTAACTAAAATAAACGAAATACGTCAAAAGTCATCGTAATAAAAATGAAGAGACAAACATAAAGTATTTTAAACAGCATATAAGGTTACGACGAGCATGCCCCCGGAACACACAACACAATTGCTATTCGATACACGGTGTGTGTTAGCCAGAAATAGTAGAATTTCGTACAAAAGCGCACGCGTAGTGCAAGCATGGCCCGTGCATGACCCCTTCGAAGCCCGCAGTCCCATGAAGCGAACGACTATCCGACATACGACTCAATGTGACACATAGCAAACACGCCGTAGTCAGCAAAAATCTCATCAGCAGTCTACAATGTTAGAATCCAACTATTGATTAACAAAGACGAGTAGTAAAAAGGAGAATTTAATATATTGACATATGAATTAGTATGCACCAACAAACAGTAACAAACGCACATGAAAAAACTACCCTCCAAAATCCCCAACCAAACAGTATGTAGTTACACGGGAAAATGCACAGGCCATAAATCCACCGCGCACAGAGTATGCTGAAACGCGACTATACATCTCGGGGACCAGGAAATAAAAAGTTATACAGTCAAGTGCACAAGTGTACATACAACTACGCACAAACTAGCCACAGTCCGGCCACCGTCGAAAAACATACAAACATAAAATCTTACGATTCCGCAGAGGAATCTCTCACCACAAGTTCAAAGGAACTACGTCGAGGAAGTAGACAATCCTTTGATTATCAACAGCAACGATAGCCCCTGTGCAATCCTAGTTAATCCGCAGAGGATTCCGATCAATCCGCATAGGATTCTGATCAATCCGCAGAGGATTCCAAGTTCGAAGCAACAGACATCCGTAGCCGATCCGCAGCGGAAGGCGATCCAAGGATGTCCATCGTTTCTTATTCGATCTTCAGTTCAGGTGAACTCCACAACTGTTCCGCGGCGGAAGGAAGGAGTTCGCAATCTTTACAGAGATGTTTGTATCGCATCCTCCTTACAGAGCGAGGCGTCGAGTGCTCGTGTAAAGAGCAAAGAGAGTGTGATTGAGAAGAAGGACGTTCAAATGGACTTGTCTGAGTACTCGTGTGTGGAGTTGAGTTCTGGAGTTTTCGGAGGGGAAAGCGAGCTGAAGTTGAAGTTCAAACTGAATAAGAGTGGAAATGCGAATGTAATTGAGGATCCGATGCGGTTGTGCAGTCGGAGATTTCCAGCGTTGAGAGGTTTTCGTTGTCCGGCAAAGCTAGGAAGCCGAACAGTGAAATCGTGAGCGTAACCGAAAAGGCAAAGGAAATTGACGAGAGCGAAATTTCGAGTCAGAGAAAATTTTCCGGCAAGGTTTCGGAGTTCAGCAAATGGAAAGTGAAACGAAGCAAGGATGCGTCTGAGATGAATGACAACAATGTTGTTTCATTCAATTCTGCTTTAGAATCCGCCGCTGAATCGAAGTTAGCTGAAAATAGAGCGTTTGGTGAGGAGGTGTCTAAGCCAGAATCTGCTGCAGGGCACGCACATAAACTCCTTACAACCGACTTTGATCTGGAACGTTCAGAGAACTTGTCTATGAACGATGAGGTTTTCGATGACCACTCGTCGGCATACTCTGAGCTTCAGTCGGATATTCTCCAGGAGAGTTCCGATTAGGATTTCTCCGATTATAATCCGTCAATATGGTACGATTCTGGCAGCCAATTCTCTGAGAAGCCCATCGGTGACGATTTTCCTTCATATAGCTTCCACTTGTCACGTCAGTTCAGTGAAGAACACAACAGTTCTGATGAAATTTCATTAGAGTTGGAAAAAGAGGTTGGAGAGCGCTACCGGAGGCTAAGAAGCAGAGAAAGAAGGCAAGTGTATCTACGCGACTATGCGGAGGAGTACTACTTGGACACAGGCTTCGGCGAGCTCGTTGTTCAGCAACGCCTGCAGATAGTCCATTGGATCGTACAACAATCCATAAAGAATGAGCTTCAAAATGAGACAATGTTCTTAGGAGCTAATCTCTTTGATCGTTTTCTAACGAAAGGGTCCTACAGAAACAAGAAGAATCTTCAGATTGCTGGCATTGCTTGCCTCACTCTTGCCACCAGCATAGAGCTTTTATTCTCGCTCTGTCCCAATCACGCATTGGTGCAGAATAGAGCTAGATACAAACAACAAGAGTGCCTCAAAATCTTGCTAAGACATGGAGCCGAGTTCATGATGAAGAATGATGCTTCATGTTGATGGTTTCTCTAGTAGAGCAGAATTACATAATCTAATGGTCTGAAAAGAATGGGTGTATAAGGAGGTCCACCATCCTTGGTGGACTCAATGAGAAGCTTGGATTTGCAGTAGCAGTCCTCACTACCTTGGTGCTATGTATCTTTGCAATCTTTACTTGGCTTGCAGGGTAAACATCAGTTCTGTGAAACTTAGCAGCAGAATGAGTGTAGAGCTGCAGTAGAAGTCTAAGATGGGCATGTAGGATCTACACGCTCAGCTTACGGGGGGAGGGGGTGTTGGAGGATAAAAATAAATATCATAGGGTTATTATTGTTTAATCCTCCTAATCTTTCTGTTTCAACCGCTTCGTATATAAGCTCTTCGTCTTCTATGTAATCTAATACTTTGAATATCAAATATACAATCTTCTTCTTCTCTCGGCTTCTTCTTCTCTCGGCTTCTTCTCTCCATAGCTTCTCTCCATAGCTTCATCATGTAGTCCTTATTCCAACAAATCTCCATCAATTGGCCTCCCCTTTAATGGATCGCACTACAAGAAAAATCACCAATCGCGACGGAAACATCGCGACGAAACGTAATCCGTTGTCGATTTGTGACGGTTTTTGTTACAGAACGTGTTCCGTCGTGATTTTGCGTCGGAAGTGGTGACAAAATGCAATTCCGTAGCGATTTTTGGCGCAAAGTTAGAAAACAACTCGGGAAAACTTGGCGCCCACATTTTGGTGACAGATTTTGCGACAGAATTAAGTTCTGTCACCATAATAGCGACGGAAATGGCAACGCTCGATGGTTCCATCGCGATTTTGCTACAGAATCAGCGACGATAATAAATTCTGTTGTGATATTTGGCGCAAAGTGGAAAATATTCCCACGCAATCTTTGCACTAAGGGATGGACGACGGCGGCTGACGATGGAATTTGCGACGAGAATTTTTTCCGTCGCGAAAATATATCAATTTTGAAGTAAAATTTATTTTTGCTACAGAATGGGACTACGAGATCAATTCCATCGCCAATATGCTGACACGTTGGCAATAGAAAATGCGGCACCGTATATGTTTGTCGCGCTATGGCGATGGAATCGGCAACAGAAATAAATTCTGTTGCGATGTTTGGCGCAAAGATAGATTTCACATTTGAGTTTAGCGACGGAACTTCCGACAATCGTTGTTTCTGTCGCTAAATTATTTAATTTTTTAAGTAAAGTTTATTTTCGCTACAGAATGCGACGACATAATCAATTACATTGTCAATATGTTGACACATTGACGACAAAAAATGTAACACCTTATATGTCTGGCGCGCTATAGCAATGGAATCGACAATGCAAATTAATTGTGTTGTGATGTTTAGCACAAAGATAGATTTTTCACATTCGAGTTTGGCGATGGAACTTGCGACGATTGTTCTTTCCGTCGTGAGAGTTTTTAATTTATCAAGTAAAATTTATAACTTTTTAATAGTCAAATTTTGCATTAGGTTTGGTATTACAAGTGAGAAATATTCAAAATTTAACGCAAAATTGAAATTGCATATGTAAAATCCTTAACCATTGACCGAACTGAAATATTTATTTTAAAAATTTATTAACTAAATTTTTGGTTCAATTACTTAACAAATTTTCACAGAATTGTACAGAATTCTAAAGATAATTATTAAAATTTATGTGAATATTTAATATAAGAAGATTTTGATCATACACAAATATAAAACATAATTAAATAATTAATTTTCTTAATTATTTAAGAAGTATATTTATTATATTCATTAATTCAAAACATATTTATTATATTTATTAATCCAAAATGACATAATTTTTATTATATATATATATATATATATATATATATATATATATATATATATATAGTAATTTAAAAACATAAATCCTATTTTAATTTAGACCTAAAATCACAAATCACCTAATTTCACATTTCCCCACTTTTCCTTTACACTTTATGTGACATATACAATTTTACTTTACACACACACACACACACACACACACACACACACACACACACACACACACACATATATATATATATATATATATATATATATATATATATATAGCACAACATATTATTATTATTATTATTATTATTATTATTATTATTATTAAAAATTTAAAATAAACCTACGACATCGGGTCCACAATGAACCGACGTCTTAAGTTCAATTTTTTAAAAAAATAAAATAATGAAAAGAAACCGACGTTGTAGGGTTAAGATAAAATAGAATTTTTTTTTTTTATACATATGTGTTTTTAAAAAAAAAAAAAGATTACTATAAGGTAGATATAAGTTTTTTAGAAAAATATTAAAAAATTATTTATATATGTAGTTTTTTTTTTTAAAATTTTAATAAAGTATATAACGTTAGTCTTTAGAAAGAAACGACGTTATATGTCATATATATATATATATATATATATATATATATATATATATATATATCGTATTTTAGTTTAAAATTTTATATGGTATATTACGTTGGTTCAAAAAAAAAAAAAAAAAAAACTGAAATCTTATATATTGAATAACATAATTTTAGAGTTAATACCTCCAATGGTCCCTCAAGTATTAGCGGTTTATCAGCTGTGGTCATCCGAATTTTGAATGACGTCCAATGGTCTTTCATGTTTTAAAAAATAACCACCTTTTAGGACGCCTCGTGGTCATTTTAAACTCGCATTTTTTTAAGAATTAGGACCACATACGGTTATTTTTTAAAACATGAAAGACCATTGGAGGTCATTTAAAACTCGAATGACCACAATTGGTATATCGCTAATACTCAGAGCACCATTGAAGGTATTAACTCCATAATTTTATTATTAGAACTGATCTTATAACTTCAATCATTAAAAAAAAAAAAAAAAAAAAATTTCCCTCCAAATTTAAATTCAAAACTCTCCAATTCTAGGCATACAGTTAGAATATTTTATAATTTCCCTCCAAACTTAAACCCAAATCCCTCTGTCGTCTATCTGGAACCCTAGACTTTCTCGATTTGGCTATTCCTTCCGATCGCGGCCCTCTCCGGCGGAGCTTTTTGGGCGGGGATGGTCCCTTCGATCTCCCTTTGGAAAGGGCAACACTCGCTGGTCACGATCAAAATCGACCACCACACACCGGTCAGCAGCCGGCGCGAATGTGGCTGGGACGGCTCCGGCAATGCCGTCAGCGGCTGGGACGGAATGAATTATGTCGCAAAAATGTAAAATTCCGTCGTAAAATGCGATTTGCAACGGAATTTCACGTTTTTGCGACGGAATTTTTCCGTCGCAAATCGCGATTTTTCCGTCGCAAATCGCGATTTTTCTTGTAGTGGGACTCTTCAAAATCAAATCTTCAAACGATAATTTTCTTGATCATAATAAACAAAGAAGTTTCTTCAAGTAGTAATCATTCACATAACAAAACACTAAGTATCATCTGCAGCTGAAGAGGTTAATTAATCTTAAGCCATCCCAGATTGGCACAAAATTGAATTGTTTGGATTATTGTGCCAAAAATGCACCACATGTATGCGCAAAGGCAGGGCCTATGCGTAATATTGCATACGAAGTAGGAACCCAAAAATATGTTTAATTGATGGATTATAGGCATTATTGCAGTACATACATGTCTTTAAACTAGACCATGATGTTTTTTACTAAAACACATGCTAGTACATATTTTGTCAAGGGAAATTCTATTTACACCACCTATTTTGCTATTTACACCCCCTATTTAATAGGTGTAATAGCTTTATAGGTGGTGTAAATAAAAAAGTGCTATTTGCACCACCTCATTAAATGTAGTCAAACATTAATCTTTATTTTTTTATTTTTATTTAATAATCAATCTCTTTTTATTATTATTATTATTATTATTATTATTATTATTATTATTATTATTATTATGTTTTAATGCCTAATTATTTTGTGCAATATTTTTTAAAGTTTTTATTTTCAATACATATATATTTTTTTAAGTTTTTATTTTCAATACATCTTTTTTTTGTTCAATACATATTTTTTTAAGTTTATATTTTCAATAATTATTTTTGTTTATGTTTTAATTTTAAATAAAGAGAAATAATCATTAATTTTGTTATTCTAATATTTTTTTTA